TAATTTTATCATAGACGTACTAGTTTGGGGTATTTAGTAGTCAAAAAATTAGTTTGGGGTAAATTTGTTACAGGTTTACTGATTTTGGGTTTTTGTGGTAGTAACCCAAAATAAAACTATCTTCCCATTTGTGAAAAGCAATTTATAAAAAAGCCCTCTTTCATTGTTTAAGCTGTGTAAACTGTAAATTATTGTCCACGAAACTCTTCATGTAGATAGTGCTAAAGTGCAAAATAACTTATGACCAATCATATTATTGCATTGCATCTAAATCATACAGAGCTCAATTATAAACGTTGATGGAGTAATACACTAGCATAAAATATACTTTATATGATCACAAAAATCTATTGCGCAATTCATGATGAAATATCGAAAGTGTTTGTATTTAGAAAAGGTGAAATCAAAATATCATGAGATGGGTATAATGTGACTTTCTAACTTTACGAAAAGTGGAAAGATTCATTTGCACATTAAAAAAGAGAGAGGTGTAGTTCTAATCGAAGTTAAAGTTCTATGTGGAGGGTTTCCCATTACATGAATCATCTTTTATACCTTATTCATTAGTTTGCCTTTATTATTTGGCGAGAAAATCACCATAGGGATATAAATGATGGGAAAAGGCTGATTTATTTCTTTTCTTTTTACCTTGGATGTTACTATAGTATTGGGATTTTATTAGGGATACTGACACAAACAGTCCCTGAACTTTGGTCCAATGTGCAATTTGATCCCTGAACTTTTAATTTGTTCAATGTAGTCCCTAAACTTTAGCCTAATGTTCAATGTGGTCCAAGAACTTTTAATTTATATAATGTGGTCCTTTGTCACACCCCGAACCCCACTAAGCGCGAAACATCCCGCAAAGGTCGTTAAGTATGCGATGTCCTAGAATTCGTCGCCGACCCAATCGAATCACTAACGAATAAACGCATGCGGAAGCGAACTAGAACATCGAGACATAATCAACAACGGGATAGCAAAAGAGACATCAAATACACGAACCAACAAACTTCTTTTATAAACATATTGTTAACTACAACATATACAACAACCAAGCCATACAATGCCACATCTACAGACCACACAGGCAAAAAGGATCGGATGGTCGGGTTAGCTTAACTTCTCTACCAAAAAGGGGGCGCTCCAAAAGACAAGATAACTAAGCCTATCACAAGTCCCCGTGGTACCCTGGCAGCGTCTCCGGATCCTCCATGTCGTCATACGGCTCGAAATCCGACTTCTTAGGATCAGTATCGGGATCGATGACTTATCCGTTGGGAGGATCAATCTCCATGGGATCCCACTCCATAACTTCATCACCGCCATGGTGGGGGCCATCAAACCTTCGGATCGGACTAGTCACCTCAGCCCCATCGTGATAGAACCAAGCTAAAAAGGTATGGAGCCTCCAGTATGCTAAGCCCTCATCTACCCAAATCATCGTATAGTACCTTATATAAGTTTTGTCCTCACCTACTGGGTACTCCATTTCTAAGTGGTCCATATCCATGGGTACCCCAAAACGTCGAGGTGGACTAGTCATAGTCGGAGGTCTGAAATGGTTATAATACAATAATGAGAATAAATCTCAATAAGTAAACTCCCTAAGCCTCGTTTAGGATAACACGTACGTCCGACCAATCCTAAACATGCAATCCTAACAACCAATGTGCCATAAACAAACACAGGCGTCTTTACCTCGCCTTGGCACATACATAAGCCATGCACGTTAGAAAGTTGCCACTGCATGGCAATCGCTCCTCGAGCACACACAATACGATCCAAGGCATAATCATGCATAATATAATTAGTAATCCAGACTTGCTCAATAACGACTTCAAGCACAAAGTATTACCCAATGCATAACACACATCATAAATGTCCAGATTATTAACGGCCTCTCGGGCCCACTGAACTCTCGCTGGTCTTCTGGCATAACCAGGCATCGTCCCGCTGCATCGGCGATGGCAACGTTTGGGATCGAACCTCCCAGTAAGTCGGGTACCGGACGGCATTCCAAAAGGAGCATCAGTCCGGCCTCCACCGCAACACGACATCGTCTGGGATCGAACACCCCCCCGGCAACCGCAGGGTACCAAACGGCATCTGAACCCCTGCTGGGCATCGTCTAGAACTCCCGCCTAGACGGGACTTGTCGTGATCATGCACAAACATCAAGCACTCATCACCAATTCTTATCTTTGCGAATTAGCCGAATGCAAACAAAATCCGTACTCACCCGACAAAATGCCACGTCTTTCATATGTAAAAATATCATAGGATAATCACACGAGAGAGAGAAAACCGAGTACATACGTAACTGGAGTAATTCTGGGCGGATGCTAGGGGTGAGCGGTTCCAGGTTCCACCTGGAACCTGGAACCTACCCTCGGGTACATGTTCCTCATTTTTTGGAATCTAGAACCTACCCGTTGGAACCTGGAACCTGGAACCTGGAACCTACCCTGTTACAAGTTCTAGGGTCGGTTTCAGGTTCCAACATGTTCTTATTTTTTTTATTTTTTTTTATTTTTAGTTGATCAAAACGAAAATGAACATTCATAAAAAAGAATACAAAAGACTAGTTATTGAAAAGTCACATTTTTCTTAAAAGAAAGGGGATAGAACGATAAATAGCAATTGTTGGGATGCAATACATATGACTTTAAATTCCAAGGTAAGATGCCACATTTTTCTCAACAATCCATATCTAAAAAAAAGACCAGCTGTCAAATCTTTTCAAACTAGGCACCTTTCTCCCAAAAACGGCTCCAAGTCCTACTTCATTTCAATAGCATTCACATCTGATCTGACCTTTCTCCTATACATGCTGCAAAAGCACAAAAGCAGAAGACCAAAAGCTTCTTCGGTAACCCTTCCGGCATTAAATTTCTTCCTCCTTTAAACAACCGCGAGGTCAAAGGCACGCACAAATAATTGGCTGAATCACAAATAACACGACCTTAGCTGCTCCTTCAAAGACAACCAAAGTATTAAGACAATCCATATCAATTTATTGATATAATAAAATAAGTATTAGAAAGCCTACCACATATATTCATTCCGCTTCAACTGGTAAACTCTATTTACCGATGATAATCTCCTCATTCAGACAATCCATATCTAAAAAAAAGAAAGATTAAATAAAATATTCACTTATTAGATATATAAAAGGAATTACAATATATAAAGATATAAACACCACTTACCCATCTCAAATTTTTCTGCATTTTCGATGCATTCTTCAACATCAATCGGCACACGAACGGCTCTCAACCAATCTTGAGTGCAAATCAAAGCTTCCACTACTTTGGGAGTCAAAGAACTTCGAAAGCCGTCAAGCACACGACCCGATGTACTAAAAGTCGACTCCGAAGCAACAGTAGTTACGGGAATAGACAAAACATCCCAAGCCATCAAAGATAGGATTTTATATTTTGAGCCACTAGTCTTCCACCACATCAAAAGGTCAAGATCAGGAATATTTTCATTTTTTTCTTCAAGATATTGATCAAGCTCAGATTTGTTGTCATTGCACACTTGTTGGTTCGAGTGCATAAAGGTTCTTCGCCAAGCTTGGGCGTCATACTTCTTGATCTTGTTACCTTCACTACCACCGGCATCGGCATTGGAACCACTACTACTAGCACTCAAACTTTGGGCACCAAAATTTCGATCACTTGAAGCAAGAGAAGATTGTTCATAAAATTCATATAAACGCTCCAATGCGTCCTTCACCTTGTAATGCATCTCATTAACTTTCAATTCATCATCATAAATTTGTCCATACAAGAAATTCACATAACTCAACTTGGCTCTAGGATCCAACACAACCGCAATCAACACCAACATATTCACTTTATCCAAACTCCCATAGTATTTGTCAAATTTCTCTTTCATTTTCATACCCATAGCTTCAAGCTAATCTTCAGCTTTTCTAAATTTTATGACGGTGTCTAACATGAGGTAAGTGGAGTTCCATCTAGTGGCGACATCAAGAATAACTGAACCCTTGTAAGTAATCTTTTCACCCTCAATGCAAGATTTAAATGTGTTGGCTCTCATGGGAGAACTCCTCACATACCTAACCACGTTTCGTATACGTGCAATAGATTCCTGTACCGTAGTCAAGCCATCTCTAACAATCAAGTTTAATATATGAGCAGTGCACCTCATATGTAAAACACTACCATCTAAGATCAACAACTTTTCTCTTGAAAGTTTTTCCTTCAAATAACCAATTGCAACGTCATTCGAACTAGCATTATCCACGGTGATTGTGGATACCTTCTTTTCTATTCCCCACTCGTTGTTGCATTTCTCCACCATTCTCCCAATCTCCCTACCTTTATGACTAGGCATCACCACAGAATTGATGATTCTTTTATGCAACTTCCAATTTTCATCAATAAAATGTGCAGTGAGACACAAATAATTCAAGTTTTGAATGGAACTCCATGTATCGGTCGTGAGTGCGATCCTAGAATTTATCTTACCAAAGTAAGTCTTCAAACAAGTTCTTTCACAAAAATACAGCTTCATACAATCTTTAGCCACTGTAAAACGTGACAAATGTTTAAAGAGAGGTTGTAACTCGGTGACAAACTCGCGAAATCCAACACGCTCAACCAAGGCAAAGGGTAGTTCATCAACTATGATGAACCGAGAAAGCATTTGCCTACAACGTTCTTGATTAAATGACCATGTCGATAAGACACTACCAGTACTAGAACCTTCTCCTGCCTTGCCAGCCAAGTCTACATTACGCGGTGCAAAGAATTTCTGCCTCTTATCAACATTGCAAGGAAACTTCTTACATGTTTTCAAGTGTTTCCTCATTATGGAAGTACCATGAGCAACATTGTACTTTAACTCAGACCCACAATGAATGCACTTCACCTTATATGTTTTTCCATCCCCATCTTTGATTCTTGCAGAATGATTCTAGCAATCGGATGTATATTTCTTATTAAAAGGAGGACGATGAAAATCAAGTACCTTGTTTGTCGCACTCGTGGTTGGGGATGGCTCTTCTTCATTTTCATCACCCGACAATTCAAATTCTGTGATCGGAGTCATCTCCTCACATCCCTCAACCTCCATTGACATGTTATCTTGAATTCTTGATAGTTGATATGTCAATCAAACAACACTGGCCAAGCAAACAACATGAGAACAGATTAGCCGAGAGCACTTGAACAATCAATCAAACGACACGAGAACAGAACAAGACAGCAAAAAAGAAAATGCAATTTGAATCTCAAGCAGCCATATTCCAAAGTTGCAGCCATAATGGATCTTGAATGCAAAGGATGCGCATTTACACGGGCAAATAATAGGAATTGGGATGCCTATGTGAAAGAAAGACTAGATAGAGCTCCATCCAACGTAGACTGGAGAGTGACATCCCAGAAGTGGAAGCGTACGCATTACCTGCTATAGACTCCGACCGCAGTCCTATCTTGCTAACTCTCTCAGCGGAACTTGCAAAAAGAAAGAGAGAAATTAAGTTTGAAGCATACTGGCTTGAAAATAATGAATGTGGTTAGCTAGTAAGTTCTTTTTTTTTTGGTCGAAAGCTAGTAAGTTCAGCGTGGAATACTCCAGGCATGGAAATGAACACTTTCTGAAGAAACTACAAAAAGAAATAGAGGCCCTAAAAAAGTGGAGCAAGCGGAAGTTCTCTAATAGTCAAATCAACTGCTTGAATAGGAAGCTTTAGGAGTCAACAAATGAGCAGAGCTTGCATCATGACAGGGACAAAATGCAGCAACTGAAAATGCAAATTGAAGATCTGTGGAAACAAGGAGAAATGTACTGAGGTATGCGCTCGAATATACTGGCTAAACAGGCGTGACAGAAATGCTGAGGAAGCGCAATGGAATGAGCATATGCTGTTCTCTCTTTTTGAGTAGCATACAGTAAAAGATATTCTAGCTATCCCCCTCTTAACAACATCGGCGAAAGACAAGCTAGTCTGGACACACAACCGGGAATTTATCATACTAATTTTAAGTATAGATGTTTTTCTTAACCATAAATGTTTTTCCATTGAATAACCATTTTCAATAACCAAACACGTGAAAATCCGGAAAACTAATACGAGGAAAGCTCTTTCAGTGAAACAAACAAACCTTAGTTTGTTTTACCATGCATTCCATGTAAAAAACAAGATACTTCTAGGTCAACAAGCACCTACCTGTTGTGGCAGCAAAATCATGAAGCTAAAGAAGTCGAAAAGTCTTTAGAGTTCGTTTCAAGGAAAACGGATGAGAAATTTGAGACAGATTATTCAGATTTTTAACTGGCAACTGCTCTGTCAATAAGAATACCTTCACAACAAAAATGTTGCAAGAAGAAACCTCCTCTAAATACTTTTTTTGCACACAATCAAGGTATAGAACATCTGAAAAGCCTTTGGCTTTTGCAGCAGACTGTGCCTTCAGAACCTACAAGACAGAATAAGAGAAAAAACATCATCATTCAAGTTCACATACTAATAAATAAATGTACCTACAAACACTCATGCCTTGCTATATTGACAAAACATGGCCCAAGAGACATTTAGGAATGGCTACCCCTAAATGATAACAGACAAAAAAGAAAATAAAAGGGAAAAATGAGAGCGCATTCTCAATTATACTACAGAGAGACAATGGATGTAAGAAGCAATGAAGTCGATCTCAACAGACATGAACACAGAAGAAGATGAAACATAAGTAAAAGTTGATGCAATGGGTATAAGAAAATTGTCAATTTTTAGTTTGTTTTTAATTTTCTTAAAACATGTATCATAGATACAAAATAATATTCTCTCTAGAAAACATAGTTTGCTTGTTTGCATTGCAAATGAAAACAATGCAAACAATATATTCTAGTTTCAATTTTGAATATAGTTTCTCTTGTTTTGATTTGGAAGCTGTTCTCTACCAAACACATTTTCTAGGCAGTTTTTGCTCTCCCATGGAAATTGAAAATAGAAAATTCATGAACCAAAGAGGGCCTTAGACTCTCACTGTCCAAGAAGTATAAATAAGCCATCACTCAGATGTTTCACATAGTTTTACTTTAAACTTTGACTTTAGAAAATTTAGCGGGAGAGAAGAAATAACTTTCATAAGTGGAAGTTCCCCTCTAGATGCTCTCAAAATTGAAATCCTTAAAAGGACCACAGGACAACAACTTGATTCTACTGTTTAATCAAGAGAAAAATATGCGAGAATATTTTACTTCCATGCAATCCTTCGCTGTAGCAAGCAATCGCCATGAAGAAGTAAACACCATAGAGTAAAGAAAACTTGAAGATGAGATATTAGTGCAGATATGCACGTCTACTACCTGTCTAGAGGCCATAATCAAATGCAAGCAATCTAAATCAAGGAAAAAGACTTACTTGCCCACCGCAGCATAGTTTCCAATAGTCTTGACACCTCAAGTACCACCAGGAGTAGCTCGATCCAGTACCCACACCAAGATTTGATTGCTTACCTAATCCGAACTACAACCGAACAACATCGAAGGACAGCCAAAATGGAAAAGGAAAAATCTAAATCAAACATACAATTCCATTCCATATAATACAATCAAACACCCCCCCTTGAAAAAAAGAAGAAGAAGAAAACCTATCATTCACAATAAAGGTGCATCGCCAAATCATCCCCAGATGATTCACTATGATTCAAGCAAGAAGAAAGCCGAAACCTTGTATAATATCTCTAGTCACACGCTCACGCAAAATAAAGAAGTGCACGGGGAGCCAACGGCTCGTCAGCGAGAACAACACAGACACACGCCATAACTTATGGCGTGAATGGCGAGGGGTTGTTTGAAGACGTTACATACCAGAGCGATGGAGCTTCAAAGGAGGAAGACGGCAGCGTGCCCGAATAATCGGAGCGAATCTGAGTGGGGAGATCACAGGACCTGCGACGAAGAAGGCAGAGCGAGGCGAAAGTGGGAGAGAACCGTGGAAGCGGAAGCGGGAGCGAGGGCGAGGCGGAAACAGAAGCGGGAGCGAGGAGCGAGGCAGAGGCAGAAGCGAAAGCGGGAGAGAGCTTTGGAGGGACGATGATGGAGGATTGGGTGTGATTCAGGAGGAGAATGGAGCATTTGGGAATTAGGGTTTCTAAATACTAAGTTTATATTTTTGGTTCCGGTTCCAGGTTCCGGTTCTCGGTTTCGATCCGGTTCCTGTTCTAGGTTCCGGTTCCTGTTCTAGGTTCCGGTTCCGGTTCTGGTTCCGATTCCAAGTTCCGGTTCCAGGTTCCGATTCTGATTCCTATAGGAACCGGGAATCGGAACAGCCGGTTCCTAAAAATGGGGAACCGGGAACCGGACCCTCTGTCCATGGAACCTGGAACCGAAACGGATCCACCAGGTCTGGTTCCCGGTTTTACCCTGGAACCGCGCTCACCCCTAGCAGATGCATAGCAACCGAACTCCTTTTGAAATAAATAGTAAAACAACTCCAAAAATTCTGAATTCGGGATATGTCATAGAAAATATCTGGCAAAAAAATACTACAAGTGCTATAACTTGTATACGGCGCTCACTTTGATGCTATAAGTTTTTTTTTTATCACGTAAGTGCTAAAATTTTTGAAAAACGATCACTTAAGTGCCAACTCCGGTGCCATACACAATTTGTCGCCGGAAATCCGACGTGGCATTTTTTTTATTAATTTCTGAAGCTGACATGGTTCGCCGGAGATTGGCACTTAAGTGATCGTTTTTCAAAAAAATTAGCACTAAAGTGATTGTTTTTCAAAAAATTTAGCACTTAAGTTATCCAAAAAAAACTTTTGGCACTTAAGTGATCGTTTTTCCTCTGATTTGGCACTTAAGTGAGCCGGCGAAAAATTTTGGCACTAAAGTGAGCGCCGTACACAAGTTATGGCACTTATAGTGTCCTTTTGCTGAAAATATCTTGATAAACATTTCTTATGAGAACACAAAACCCAGTTCAAACTGTAAACATGTATTTTTGTCACTAGAAGTCGGACCGTAATCAGCTCGTTCGAACAGGCTACTCGGCCCTCAAAACGCATCTCTTTCAGTACCCAAATCTCTTTAGAAAGATTTGAAATTTTTATATATCATAGACATAAATGTCCTTAACAATTTTTGTGAAGGAAATTTGTTGAAAAGAGACCTGTAAAGATTTATAAAAATTCGGAAAGACAATAAGGTCAGTGAACAGTATTCCATGGCAGTTTGAATATGGTATGAAGATGAACTTCCGAATGACCCCGAATGACCTCAAATGACCTCCAAAAATCTCAGATTTAATATATGTTATACTTCAAAATGTGAGGAAAAACTTTTATGAAGAACACCACTTCAAATTCGGCCCACAAAGGTCTCCACAAAAATAGCAAATCACAGATGTACAGCAGTAATGAATCCGAGATTCAACCAACATGAACCATCAAGCAAGCCAAGCTCATCCAACAACTAAACCACCTATCAACAACCCTTAATCAACCCCTAATCAGTCCATTAGCAACCTATCACCCTAGTCAAGGATTAGAGAGCAACTTACACACAAGCTAGAGCTAACCAAGCACCCAAAAAACCGCAACCAACAAGCGACGAGCGGCGGCACCAGCGGCGGACGGCGGCGACGAGGGCGACAAAAGGGGCTCACGATGGTGGATGGTGGCTGAAGGTGGCTGGTCGGTGATGGAGGGAGAGTGGCCGAACAAGATGAGAGGAAGAGTGAGCAAGTGAGAGAGAGTGAGGTGAGTGTCTTGATCAGAATGGTGAGAGTGAGAGAGAGAGAGACAACAACCCCACTATAAACCCCATCAACCACCCCACTAAGATCCATTCGTCTAGAATCCATTTTGTTGAGCAAGCCAAGATTCAAGGGTTTAGATTAACTCTAACTAAGGGCAAACTAGGGAATAAGCAAAGAGGAGAGGGGCACCATTGTCCATAATTTTCGGCCATTGGAGGGAAAGTCCAAAAGTCCAAATTGCCCTTCAATGTAACAAAGGAATTCAAATATCTCAGGGGTAAAATGGTCTTTTCCAATACTCGATTCATATTTCGCTTTTCTGATAATTTCCGAGTGGCCCGACAATTGGCCAAGCTAAATGAGACGACGTCTAATAAATTAGTCGTGGAATCTTGAAAGTTCGATACCCAATCCGGATTCTAATAAATGGCCAAAATCAATCAATCGCGACTTTAGTGTATCTTAAACTAACGGGCGGCTTTTAGGAGTTACGCATATCGACCCGTGATTGACTCAATTATCAAATCACATTTAAGTTTACTCAAGCCATAGCGACCTCGGTTATCATGTAATTACGAGGGTCAATCACTAGTTCCGATGGACATGATCGTTCGGAATATGTTTAGGATCGTTCTAAATTCATACAATGGTCAAGCGGAATTACCCGTAATCCAATTGTATAACATTGGTGAATCATTCCATAACCATCTTTGGATCGGTCTATAATGGCCCAAAATATTCCCTCGTCAATCCTTATGGTCGAAGTGTCAGTCCATGGTCAAGTTCTTAGGTACATGTACTTATTTCCTAACTAGCCTTTCCCTCGTTAGTCTTTTCAAGAGCGATCAAATCTGAGTGAGATTTAACTAAAAGTGTGTCAAAGATATATTCATTTCATAAATCTCAAAAATGGATTGAAATTCAAAATGTCACATCCTTGGATTTTTTGTAGATGTTCAATTTAGTCCCTAAACTTGAATTAATGGAAGGACTACATTGAACATTTTCATATAATTATGGGATTAAATTGAACATCTACAAAAAAATTCAGGGATCACATTGAACAAATTAAAAGTTTAGAGACCACAGGGACTACATTGAACAAATTAAAAGTTCAGGGACCAAATTGCATATTTAGCCAAAATTCAGGGACTATTTGTATCATTTTCCCATTTTATAACTATTAGACATGAACTGTGTACTTTATCATGTAATCCATTTGTGTTTTGTGTTGAATGTATAATGCGTTAATAACTAGAGTTGCGCCATTGAAAAAAAATGTCGGGATGGTATAGGGTATCTTGGAATCTATGAAACCGATAGTTCTAGGTTTTATGTTCTAAGAGCCCGTAGGAAAGGTTTCGTGTTTCAAAATTTCAAACCCCGTACCTATAAAGAGGTCCCAGAATAAGGTAAATACACTACTTACCCCGGAACCCGCACACCTCTTCGCAAGTGGATTTATTGGCGTTCGAAACACCATCCGAATATCAACACGCTCAACGACTTGATACACACGGATCCGAACATATAAATATATAGGCAATGCTAGGTGCGTCGAGACTCATTACTAAACCTTTGTTTACCAAAAGATATGGCCAATTTGGTTAGTATTATAAAATTGGGTGAAACATGGAAACAAATCAACCAAAACAATGCAACATCAAAATCCAGAGAAACAAATCCTTTGGTCTCTCCAAAATCGCGACCATGTGATGCCTTCGAAATCTTCACTTTTGCGTTTTTGACTCTTTCATAGCGCCTTATAAACCAGCGAGACCGAACCAAATTAACTCGAGACAGACCACAACAAACATGGCGGCGGCGGTGACGGCAATGGCGACGACCACTTTGTCCCTCGTCCTCTTCCTTTCCCTCTTGTCGGCATCGATCATCGCCGAGACCGAAGTGCAGGATGAGCCCGTTGTTCATGTTTCGAGCGAATTACCCAGCAACACGGACGCAGTGCACATCCATTGCAACTCGGAGGACTCGGTCGTGATTGATTAGGCGCTGAGCGCGGGCCAGCACTACAGTTGGACCGTCGAGGAGAAGACGTTGTACAGCTGCTCGGCTGCGTGGACGGGGAAGATCGGGTCGTGGCCCGCCTTCGAGCCCAGCTGGGATGCGGGCCACGATAAGGTGCTTTGGTCGGTGAAAGAGGATGGCTTCTACCTTAGCTGGGATGGCAGTGGCTAGGTCAAGAAGGCTATTTGGAATACCGAGTGAAGTGAACTTTTGAGGGTGCCCTTTTTTGGGCTTTATACAGTCGAAAAATCTAATTTCTCATGGAAAAGGAATCGAATAATGTTATCTTTTACGATGAACTTTCGAAATAATTTTCTATTTCTATTTTTTTCTAGACCTACTTAGAAGGCCTCCGTCAATTTATCATTGATTCCGTCAAATTACTGATATGATATGTTGTATGATTTTTGGAATATTTTGAAATTTTATTTAGAATTTTATGATTTTTTATTTTATTTTACTTTTCTTTTCTTTGCTAGGCGGGGGCCACGATCCTCGCTTGTGGCCAGTGAGGGTTGCATCTGGGTGAGGCTAGCGAGGGCCGTGACTCCTTGCCCAAATCCAGGCAAGGGCCGCGATGGCATCGGGTCGCGGTCCCTATGACCACTAAAACGGTTAAGGTGATGGCGTAAAATCTAAAAATAAAAAAAAATTAATTTTAAAAAGGTAATAAATAAATTACATACAATTCTACTTTGTATATTTGAATATTCTGATCGATTTTTAAGTGTTTTGTGTTAGGTGCCACAAAATCTAAGAATAGTCAAAAGTAGAAAAGCAAGGGAGTCAAAAGGAGCAAGAGCAAAGGTGTGTATATTAAAATTCATTTGTTCTTCCACAAAAAAAGACAAATTTGCAAGTACATGGAATTGTAAATCAATCATTTGTTCTATTTGTTTTGTAAAAAATGAGCTATCCGAATAATATTTTGGCGAAATGATTATTCACATCCTTAAAAGAGTGGGTCAATAAAAAATATACTTAAACATAGCTGCTCACGATAAAAATATTTTTCGTCTGTTTATATTAATAACTGATATAAACAATCATATATTTTTTTAAAATTATTAACTTTTCACGAAACAAATACAATTATAGCATTTCTTAATAAGCAATCTCGCCTCCGGTTAGCCGACCCGACCCGGACGGGTGACCCGTTCGGGTCAACCCGCGCGAAGGTGCTTCCCTAATGGCGGGAAAATGAAATATCTCAGACCTGAAATTGAGAGAGAGAGAGAGAGAGAGAGAGAGAGAGAGAGAGAGAGAGAGAGAGAGAGAGAGAGAGAGAGAGAGAGAATGGAGAGAGAGCTCCAGAGCGGAGCTGCTATGCGCCGTCGAAGCCATCAGAACCTCCGACGTAAGCTCTCCGCGTCCCGAACTCCGTTCGTCGATCTCGTCCGATTGCTGTCTCGTTCGGTCGATGCTGTCCGGTTCCGATGATGATCCGGCGAGTTCGAAGGTCTCGCGCGCCTTATCGTGTCGCGAGGGTTTACGATTGAACGGTTTGAGTTCGGAAGCGGTTTCGAACACCGCTTCGATCGATTCGGAAGTTGTCCTTCATTAGCGATTCTCCCGAATTGTTGCCGGGGAACTGGAGGGAGAAATGGAATGCTTGAGCTTGATGAATCCCTTGGGGAGAGCTGCATGGGCTTTTGTTTTTTTTGTAGCGATTGGAAAACTGTTTTCTCGTGTGTGATTTCGTTTTTTGCCGATGCATTCGCAGGTCGTCGAGGCTCGGGTTCAGCTTATTACTGGGCTCGGTGAACTGGAACTGCGCGAGAAATCTGACATAGCTTTCGCTGTCGAAAGCCTAGTTGTATCCTCTTGAACCAAGTGTGTTTTTCTTTTACTTTCTTTTCTTTTCGGTCGTTTTGCTTAATGATGTTGAGAGAATTAAGTGGACTTGGAATCGAATGCAATGTGGAGTAGCGGCTGTAATATCGAATCCTTCATTGTCTATGTTTAAAACTATCTGCGCATCGCCGTTTGTCTTTTTATTCGAGCGAATTGATTGGTTGCAAGTTCCCGATGAATGGGTGTAGTGCTGTTCTTGAATTTTGCAAATTATGGTAGTCTGATATGATGTGTTATTTGGCACATTTTGAATGAGTGTCTTGGGGATGAATTTGAGATCCAGAGGAGCTCCCTCTCTGAATGCTGTTCCTCTGTGTCGACAAATCAAGTGCATTCTTCTAGTAAAATTTTAGTTCGGTATAAATAGCATGCTCCGCCTTTGTTCATTGCATTTTCCTGCTGCTTCATTGCCTTCTGCTCTAGTTTTAATCAATGCTCAAGTAAAGCTTCCGGGTTGATCGGAGAAGTATGTGCACAATGGATTGGATTTTTGACATTTCTTTGTTAATTGCTCTAGCTGCGGCTCTCAAAACGGTCCTTCATAATTTTAACATTCCTTTGTTTGGGAGAGAAGGGAGGGAGAGAAAATGAGAGGTGGGTGTGGAAAATTTCAGAAAATTTAAATATTTTTTGAGGAGAGATTGGATGGAAATTGTGATTTTTCCTCACCCACCCCATATTTTCCTCCCCATCTTCCAAACAAAATCTTAAAGAATTTGCAGATGAATATTTTAACATTTATTTGGTCCTAATACGCGTGCTATTCCGAAGGACTAGTCAGTCTTTCAGTGCATCTGACTAATTCCTTTATACTATCTTAATGCCTTTTTTGCCTTCTTTAACTTGAGAAGTGCTTCGAACATGGAAGGACTGAAGGACTAAAGCACGTGCAAGCTGTTTTTTCTCTAATCATTATGACTAATTTGATCCACTGGAATTCTTTAAGAAAACAGATGGGAATATTTTCATGCTTGGTCTTTGCGAAATCATGATTTTTACCTTGACAACAATCTGGACATTTTGGGAGGACTACACTTGTTTGGATGTTACCCAGTGCATATTACACAAAGCAATCGTACAGGTCGCTACAAAGTTCCTCAAGCCTACTTTATGTGGTGGCCTGACACCATTCCTTACTCTTGGGGCCCAGGTAGCTTTGTTTTCTTATGATGCTCCTAATACCAACTCCCACCTAGGAATGAAGAATGCCTTGCGTGCTGTTGCAAGTTAGCATGGTGTGAGTGAATGCACACGAGCAAACACTTCTTCGAAATTTTGTATAGTGAGTGATGTTGTTAATTTCATGACAGGCAAGCATTTGGTGTAAAAAGCATCTACAGATGACGATTATGTCAATGGAGGAATCACAGGAAGAAGAACATTGCAAGATGTTCTATGGGGTAACTTATCTCTTGTTGCTACTTGATTCTCTTTAGTATCTTCCTTACCAAAAATGCAATACTGCTAGGCGTAGAAGAGAGCTTTCTCTATTTTTGGGGGGTGAGGAGTGGGAAGTTTTTGGGGGATGGGTGATGGGGAGGGCTGGAGTTGGGGAATTGCAAGCAGAGAGGGGTAAGTGATAATTTTTTGGTCCAGCTGTTCTGCTTTTGATGGAAAGACACTGTTTTTCATTCCTCTTTTGCTATTGATCAATTATTGTTATGCTAGATTGCACCACCGGGTAAGGATAAGATTGATTCCTCTTTTGATGTTAAAAAGCACGAGATCAAAAGAGGAGAAGAGACAATTCCGATTCTTGAAGGAATAGGTCGAAATAGATGAGTCTCTTTGTTTGAAGGAAAATTATTTTCCGTCTTTCTCACGTTTGAACGACGGAAAGCTAATCGGTTTATGGAAAACATTTTCTAGGAAGTTTAAATTTGGGAAAAATTTCTTCCCTTCTGGCTAAAATTGGCCGAATATTATTAAAAAATGTCCATGTCAATACCGGCCATGCCACATAGGTAATCAGCAATTTCGAGGTAAAATTGATCAGATGGACTTAATTAACAAAACGTGAAATGGTTTAGGACTAAATTGACACAAATGCAATAGGTTTAGAACTTTTTCGGTAATTATTCCATTTTTCTCAATTTTAATTTTTCAAAAATAAGCCTCACATGAGTTCGTTTCACCTGCTGGTAAACTATAGTAAGTGTTGGCAAGTATCAAAAGGCTAATGATAATAAAAAATGATTGGTAACCTTTTTCCAAGTAAAATGTTAATAACTTATCAATACTATTAGGAAATCACCGACTCCTTTCATATGTTCCAAATTGGCAATTTTTTTAGTGACTTGCCAACTTTTATTTGCATGAATTACCAAAGTCTTTGAATTCACCAACCCTCATATGGAATTATCATTCTAAATTAAAGTGATTACTAGCTTTTGTCGTATTAAGTTATTAACTAGTTTCCAATTACCACATCTTGTTTGAGTTATCTACCAATGTTTAATTATTTTTCTAAATTAGCAACTCTTTTATGAAGTTACCATTTTTTCGGTACCATGTTCTTGCTTTCTTTTCGCGTATATAAATCGAATCGATCGAAACCCAAGCAAAACCAACGATGACTTCTCTTCGCATTGCTCTCCTCTTAGTATTGGTAACAACGAAGAGCGCAAGTGCGAGGAAACTCTCAGGAAACGTCGACGAAGCGATGGTTGACGAGCCAGTTGTTAGTGTGGTGAGCGCTCTGCCGAACGGCACGCGAGCCATGCAGATCCGTTGCAAGCCCGAGGGCTCGGCTGCGGTGATCGACCAGGCGCTGAGCGCAGGGCAGGGATGTAGTTGGACGGCCAGGGAGAAGGCACTGTACCGGTGCGAGGCGGTGTGGACGAGGATGTTCGCGGCGTGGCACGCGTTCCAGCCCAGCCGCGACACGGGGCGTGGCTGGGTGGTTTGGCTGGTCAGGGAGGAAGGGTTCTTCCTCGGGGTGAATGGGACCGGTTGGGTCAGGAAGGCCGTGTGGGAATCCGAGTGAAGGAATTTTGAGTGAGTTGTAGTGCTTCTCTATTGATGTCAACTGTCCCTATATGATGGTTATTGTCACTAAATTACTCAAGGAAATCCACTCTTGAGAAGTTTTCAAGAGTATAGTGTTTTGTCCTCCATGAGTTTGAAATCCTCTATTTTTGGGCTATGGGATTTGCTGAAAATCGATAAGAAAATTGAATTTTTCATTTTAGGAAAAGGTTTATTGTGGTTTTCGAGGGCGCGCCGGACCCAGGGCGCATGCAACCCGAGTGGCCCGAACCGTGCCGGAAGGCCCGTTTCACTCGAGATATTTATCAAACACTTGGACCCAGCCCACTAGGCCTAATTTCACTTGTCACAAAGCTTGCCTCCAAAATGCCCTCATTTCCACCCTTAATCACAAATAAATTGCTGTAGTCCACAACTTTACAAGTACTACAACTGCCCTAGCCTGAAGATTTCATTTGTGGACTCGAATTGGGGTTTAGAGATGTCGCCAGTTTCAGGAGCCCAAGTCTGCAATTCACAAAGAAAAGAAGAAAAAACCCAATAGATTAGGCCTTGTCAGGTCCAGCCTATTACTCAATCGTTACACTTGTGCAGTAGTTATCAACCGGTGCGCTTGCATCGAGCATAAACAATCATGCGTTAATGTGGGATTAGTTTGATGTTCCTTCTGTTTTCGTCCAATGGTAAAGTCTGAGGTTCGAAGAGTTGTGGAGGATCTATGATTAAGCACCATCATCGACCTCATAGCCCGGATCGAGTCGGCCGAGCCCAAGGACATTGTTTTCGATCCGGTAACGAATCTAGACAAACGGTCAAGCCCGATCCGAGGAGCCGGCCTCGTCTGGCCCCGCCTACCATGACCTCTCTAGTGCTAAGTGGTGGAGGTTGCCTTTTCAATGTACTCATTTGTATTTGCAAATCCACAAAAAAGGAGTGGGCAAGTGGAGGCATGGCAACATCATGAAGCCACTAGTTACTAGTCACTACTGACATTACGTATGTCAGTAGTGAATTCGTATTGGAGTTAGCTAATTTAAGGTGTCGGAAAGAAAGAAGATAAGAAAAGCTGATATTTATAAATAGTAAATGAAAAGTTATAAAATTGTTGGGACTAGGTGATTACTAATAAGTTTTGGGAAAATTAGAATACCGATAACCTTTTTTACCAATAGTTTTTTTTAATAATTATTAGCTCTTTCATAAATTTACCAATGAAAATAGTTTTGTCGTCAGGAGCTTCTCTTTTTCATATCTCAATTAAATCCTACGAATCTAACACCATAAAAAAATTGGAAATGTAATGCCTCAGAAAACCCACCATTGCTCTTTGTTTTTACAGGAAGGTACATAAATTTTCTCTCGTTTCCAATTTACCAAATCTGAGCAGAATTGAAAGACATTTCCTTCCCGAGACGGCTCTGTTTGCTGAGACCGCTGATCAATCTTTCATTTACAAGAAACTCTCCGTTAATAACTCGCGTCTGTCACCAACCATCAATCTTCACCCTATAAAAAGAGGCTCGAGCTAGAGACTCCCTGCGTGCATGCAAAGACCAAGCAAATCAGGAGGGAGCATCTTCTAGCGCGCCAACCTCACCTAATCGAATCTAATGGAGAACCGAAGACGGCGAGGACTTGTGTCATGTTTGTGGTGTTTTTCGTCCTCACTGTGCACGGCGGAGCTGCACGTCCTGTGAGGAGCGGCAGCGATCGGACGCTGAAAGAGCAAAATGAACTGCAAGCACCGGATGCGGCGGCAGCAGGACCGGTAGGGACTGGAGGAAGTGGCGTGGGCGATCAGAAGAACTTCCTGCCGCTTGGTGGCGTCGGGATGGGCGCCGGAATGGGTGGCTATGCTGGCATGGGCAGTTACGTCAGCGGAGTAATGCCAACGCTCGGCAAGGTCGGTGAAGTCAGCGGTGGCTTTGGTATGGGCAGCGGTTTCGGGGCGGGAGGTGGTGCCAGTGTCGGTGGCATGGGGGGGCATGGGCACTGTTCTGCTCGGGGGGCTCGGCAGGCTTAACGGCCTTGGTGTCGGCCCCGGTGGAACTGGCGGTCCTCTTCCTCTTCCTCTTCCTTAGGTGAAAGTTTTGCCTAGGGCTCAATCAACACGGTGAATTGAGCATACAAGCTGCTAGAGTTTATGCGTTTTGAAGCTTTCTTTCAATGTCGGTGTGACGGTGTTTTGTTTGTGTTATCGAACTTTTGGTGCTTGTTTTGAGTGTAACTTTTTATGTGGTTTGAGGCTGTCACAAGACAACCTATGTTCTTGTGTTTGCGCCAATGAATTTGTAGTTCGTGCTTCTGCGTTTTTAGTCTCTTGAATGAATTTTATCTTCCCACTGATTTGGATTGGCTCGCATATGTTATTGGGAAGCTCTCAAATGCATGACTCAATTTACTAACTTGTTGTCGCGACCGACCTCCGCTTTTGGTTTTCAAAAAACGAGGGTCTCGCCTGGTACGCACTAAGTCTAAGTTCGGGACTTAACTTGGGCTCTCTCAAGCCCATACCATATCGCGACTTAGGATTTAGGTTTTTAACCTACAAATGGTTTTTATCTAGGAGTCGCCACTAATCGGTTTATGATGGGTCGATTAGACACCCAAGCAAGACAATGGGAGAATTGCTTACTTCTGCGAACCAGAGATTAAATGAATTCGGGGACTTGGTTACACTAGTTGAATAACTAATGCCCTTTCGGTACCTTTTTACCCTGTTCATTTCAGAAAATATTTGTTAGGCAATTTTGGATTGATTTTAGGACCTTTCTCTTAACATGTGAGGTTATCAAGCGAGTGCATAATCATTAACGATTAGCAGTCAAGATAGATATGCAGTCTAGAATTCTAACCGTCACTAAGGCGACGACATTCAAAACATAACAGTTTATGCAATTATATTCTAATTAAAAATATGCATAGTAATAACATAACAGTAATAAAAATAACATTCAAAATATTACCGTATAGCCCTATAGGTTTATCTAATTAAAACATGGCAATTTGTGCAATTATAATTTAATAAAAAAAACATGTATACTAATAATACAATAACAATTCAAAACATTTAGATATGTCACATAATTTAGAAAAATATTAGACAATACTTATACCTGAATTATACCCTAATTTAAATTTAAAAAAATTCGAAATTTTTTTCTTTTTTAAAAAAAATTTAAAAATAATATAATAATATAATATTTAAAACGGGTCGGATCGGCGGATCCAGGTCGGTCAGGACCAACCCGGGTCAACAGACCCAACCCATTGCGTTGACCCGGGTCGGATCTCCGGATCCGACCCGAGCCAGGGGTCAACCCGGGTCATTGACCCGGGTATGGACTGGATCGGGCCTGATCGGGACCTGGTCCGATCAATAAAGATGAAATAGGGTCCGTTCGATCGGGTCGAATCGGCCCTATTTGGCTTGCAGATCGGTCCGACCGGTCTGCAGGCTAGTCCAGGGACGGCTCCCGCATGTTTGGGCACGCGGGAGCTTCG